GTAGCAAGAGGGTGTTTTTAATCACAACGGGTGAACCTTTGTAGATAATGAATAAGAAGTAAATTTTGATGTTTTCGAATTTAAAACTTAAGTAACTTTTTTGTACTTCACTCACACTCGATTTATTTAATAAGTTGTGTTGTATTGAATTAGTGTCGTGTATAAATTATATATAACTGGTATCTAATCGAATCGTACCGAATTTTTCTTTTAATTTGTTTCACTCATATTTAATTCGTTTATTAATCGTATCGTGCCGGATATACATCTATGAAACGCGTGGCTTAAAGAAAACTCAAATCTTTTAACTTCGTGTAATGTTAACGAATCATGTTATATTTTAACACCCTTAATTATAAGTTTTAGTGAAATTCATTTACGGACTTATTTACTTATTAGTAAACAATTATATCACGCACTTTTTAATGGTCCTATTTTCTAACTTATTTACATTTACGGACTTATTTCTAACGTTATGGTAAATTAGAGTTTTAATTTAATTTTTCGTTACGCCGTGCCTTCAGGCACGGGTAATTACTAATTTTTTAATAAAATAAAATAGGGTAACTTACATTGACACCCCCTAACTTTGTCACTAAAACACAAAGACCCTCTCAGGTATGGCATATTACAATGACATCCCTGTCAATCATAGTCAACTAATACATCTGACGGAAGTTTTAAAAGGACTATTTTGCCCTAATTCAAAATAAATAAAACCAGCCTAGACCAACCCAATACTAGACCCGAACTGACTGACCTAAAACCCAGACCTGATCCCACCCTTATTTTGCCTTGCATTTGATTTACCCTTCTATCTCTNAAGCTTGGATCAGCTATTGTGGATACTAGAGAAAATAAGAACGGGAATGGTGGTTTAGACGTAGATGTGCCTTTCAAGGGTAGGGAAATTGTTGCGTATGATGATATTCTGTAACTTTGAATTATTTTCAGGGTGGTTAGCCTGCATTGTAACATTATGATATAGTTGCAAGTATCTCCAGGCCTGTTTAGCAGCTATAAGGGTTGGGACTTTGGAAATATTTAGTGAAAGACGGGTATCTATGGATTTGATTTTTGTGTTTTGTGATAATCTTAGTTGTTTGCTGGTTGTCTGCTATGTTCAATGAGGATTCATGAGAAATTGATGATTTTATTAAGCTTTCCTTGTTTTATAGTGTAAATTTTCTGTGAATTTTAATAGTTTGATGCTGTTAATGGAAAGAGCCTCTTCTCATATTCTGTGGACATATATTCAGGAGTCTTACTCTGATTATATATATATATATATATATATTGACATTAAATGTTGATATGCGCAAACCTTGTCATGTTTTTGAATTCTAATGATTTGAGTTAAAGTGGTGGCTGAGAAAATATGTAGCTTTTGATGCATTTCAGATTCACTTGGATTTGTCTTATGTGAGATGATTCTCATGGAGTTGGCCATGCAGCAAGCATTGGGGAGTGCATGATTGGCCCTGTCGTCCTCTAGCTCATGTGCCTTGTATTAGTAACTTTTGTTTATTCACCAAAAAAGGGAAGTTGTAGATCACCATTTTGAACACCAGAACTTGCAATTTTGTCCATTTTTTTCCAATGCAGTTCATGTGATAGCCACCTGTAACTAGTCTGCTGATCTCTGAATTTTCAACTGTTAAAGCAGTGCTCTGCATATTTCCAATTAATCATGCTTACTTTTGAATTATATGAACTTTTTCTCGTGGAATTTTGAAGGGCCTTTGACTTTGGGCACATCACTGAGTCTTCCCATCCATCTGTCAATATTGTAGCTGCTTCTTGCAGGTGATGTTGATACATTTTGTGAACTCGTAAATGCTACTATGGAGCAATTTCAGGCTGCATTTTTATTTGTTTATTTACCAGGTATTAGTTTGCAGGTTTATGCTAAGCTTCTTCTCCAGCTTTCAAGTTTCGAGTTACTTACATGGTATTGGATGTTGAAAGTACTTGTGCATTGATGAATGGATGAATTTATTCTTTAATAAAACCATTTAAGACAGCTACTTAGATTATGCAAAAGCACCATGATGCAGAAAGTATGAAATATTTATATCTGTTTTGGGTACATCAGAAGTAGAATAAAAGGCTATATGGAGCTTTCTCAAAAGATTTCACCATATCAGTGAGGAGGAGGTTTGTTATCTTTTTAAGCTCTTGGCTTGCTCCTTTGTTCACTAGAAGATCAGCACATTGACTCCCCTGCCTTAACCATACCTCTTCATCAAGAATTTGCCAACTGCCAGGAGGGCTCAATAGGGGATGATAGTGGGGGAAACCATCTGGCTTAGCTACGGGGCAGCAACTTGCGAGTCTGCTCCTGTAAATCAACCTCGGTTTGTTTTTTGTGCTATCTCTCGGTTTTTTTTTTCTTCATTTTGATAGGATGTGATCATCCTCCGGATGTTCTTCTCTGTCCGGACTTGTGCACATGCAAGTGTTATGTGTGCCATTTGTGGATATTGTCTCGACTCTCTTTGGTATCTTGAGCAGGGCATGCAATTGGGGATGACAAATTGCAGAAATCTACCTTTGAACAAGCAGATGATCTCATGGTGTGCATTAGAACATATCATTCAAATATTTCTTCATGCAATTTGGGAACCGAAATGAACTTAGAGCTTAGTCTGCGGGGAGAAAGATAATAGGCCTTTTTGTACAAGTTTCTTAGAATACTTCTCTTCAATTCAACTGATAAAAAATATGTATTTTTACTTTTAAAATAATTAAAAATATTTTTTTAACAAAATTATTTTTTAATAAAATAAAATAGGGTAACTTACATTGACACCCCCTAACTTTGTCACTAAAACACAAAGACCCTCTCAGGTATGGCATATTACAATGACATCCCTGTCAATCATAGTCAACTAATACATCTGACGGAAGTTTTAAAAGGACTATTTTGCCCTAATTCAAAATAAATAAAACCAGCCTAGACCAACCCAATACTAGACCCGAACTGACTGACCTAAAACCCAGACCTGATCCCACCCTTATTTTGCCTTGCATTTGATTTACCCTTCTATCTCTCTTCCCACCACTGCCCACCACCAACCCCCCTCTCTCTCTGTTCTACGCTAACCGCTCACCAATGTAAAATCTCTCCCCTCTACCTCTCTCCACTGCCCACCACCGACCCTCTCTCTCTTTGTGTTTTATCACAAATTGCTCCTTGGTGGTTGGATAAACAGTGGCAATGAGAGGAGGGTGGTGGTGGCTGGGTAAACGATGACGATGAGAGGAGGAGGGTGGTGACTGGGTAAATGGTGATGAAAGGAAACATTTGATAGAGAGTTGAGGTTGGTGAATTCTCAGATTTAAGGGGATTTCAGATTTGGGGTTTTTGGGATCTAAATTTGGGCGTCGCAGACAGAAAGGAGAAAATCCATATGTGTGATAGGTGATGGTGGAAGTTGTATTGGTGGTGGCTGTGGTTGTGGCTCTGGTGTGACGGTGTTATAGTGGTGGTTCTAGGCTGTGGCTTTGGTGTGGCGATATTGTGGTGGTTGTTTTGGCGCTGGCGATGCTGTGGTAAGAGAGATGGAGAGTTGGTGGTGGTAGTTTTGGGATTTAGGGTTTTAATTGGAAATTAAAAATTATTAATTTTTATTGGATTTTTGTTTGAAATTATGATAGAGTAATTTGGGGATTTTATATAAAAGGAATACTGATGTCATCAAATTTTAACAATGTGGTTAACGAATCTTGACGACAAGGATGCTATAGGTTACAAGCGCACATACTTTAAGGGATTTTAGGGTAATTTTTCAAACGTGAGGGGATCTGTCTGTTTAAGTGACAAATTTTAGGAGATCTCAATATAATTTATCAATATAATTTATCCAATAAAATAATAAGATTAATCTCATTTTACACCCCGAAAGATAGTTCGAATCTTAATTTGTACCCTCAAAGAGCAAAAATCTCAATTTGTACCCTCAAAGATAGAAATTTGTATCAATGTGCACCCTCAAAGATCAAAAATCTCAATTTGCACCCTCAAAGATAGTAATTGGTATCAATGTGCACACCCAAAGATAAAAAATTTCAATTTGCACCCTCAAGGATAGAAATTTATATCAATGTGTACCCCAAAGATAAAAAATCTCAATTTGCACTCTCAAATATAGAAATTTGTATCATTATGCACCTAAAACTAAATTGATAAATTATACCTAAATCCTCTCATGTTTGTCACTTAATCATTTGAACCTCTTTACATTTAGAATATTACTCCTACATCTCATGACATTTATGCACGTACAACATGTAACCCATTTTCATTGATATCTGTTAATATAACCGTTAAAAAATATAATTTTATTTTAATAAAAAATTATAATTTCATATTACCCTTATTTTATGGGTCCAATATACTCTAAAGTTCAAAATCAAGCTTACCATTTGAATGTCTAATAAAATGTAGATATTTATATAATATTTTTCATATTTTCCTTTTTATAAATATTTACATTCTATTAGACATTCAAATGGTAAGCTTGATTTTGAACTTTAGAGTATATCGAATCCAGAAAATAAAGGGTAATATAAAATTATAATTTTTTATTAGGATAAAATCATATTTTTTAATGATTATATTCATAGATATCAACGAAAAGTGGTTATGTTTACACATGTACAAACGTCATGAGATGTATGAGTAATATTCTAAATGTGAAGGGGTTCAAATGATTAAGTGATAAACATGAGGGGATTTAGGTATAATTTATCAATTTAGTTTTAGGTGCACATTAATACAGATTTCTATCTTTGAGGGTGTAAATTGAGATTTTTGATCTTTGGGGGTGTACATTGATACAAATTTCTATATTTGAGGGTGTAAATTGAGATTTTTAATCTTTGAGGGTATAAATTAAGATTCGAACGATCTTTCAGGGTACAAAATGAGATTAACCCAAAATAATATAAAACGTTTACTAAAGAAACAAAGAGAAGAAGAGAACGACGACGTCCTTGCAGAGATTTGAGAATACGAAATCCTGAGCGATGGAAGATTCCCACAGAGTAGACGACGAAGCCAACGAAAGAATCGAAGAAGTACGACAAGAGATATGGAGTTGGGGAGCAGGAACAGAGGGACAGCTTGCGACGGGGAAGCTTCAAGATGAACACCACCCTCAACTCCTCTCTGCTTTCTCTTCCTTTGGATCCCTCTCTCTCCTCTCTTGCGGCGGGGCTCATGTCATTGCCCTCACCCCAAGTACCTCTCTCTCTCTCTCACACACACACACTCACAGTATATATATGTATATGTGTTTCAATACACAAAGGTTTTCTTTGATTGACTTGGTCAAGTTTATGGGTAAGCGTCAAATAATGGGTAAGGCTCACACATACGTCAGTGCCCTCACCCCTGTACCTCTGTCTGTCTGTCTGTCTCACGCACACACACACATTCACACGATGTATATGTATGTGCATGTATGCACAGAGGTTTTCTTTGATTGATGTTGTTGAAGTTTATGGGTAAGAGTAAAATAATTTGGGTGAATTTGTATGGGGCCTCTGCATATGCGTTTTTCATCACTTTGGCAGGTGGAAGGGTGCTGACATGGGGAAGGGGAACATCGGGTCAACTAGGACATGGAGAGATGGTAAACAGCTTACAACCAAAGCCAGTGGAATCTTTGGAAAGCTTTGTTATCACTCATGTTTCAGCTGGATGGAATCACTCTGGCTTTGTTTCAGGTTCCATCTCTCACCACCAGTACTTATATCCATTTACTAGCTCAGACCTCAGCTTCAAATTCCACATACCATTCAACAAGAAAGTTGCAATCGTAATTTCATATTACACACATTGCCCCAAAATAATCATAAATTTTATTGCATAATAGTTTGATTTTATCTCATTATGTTACTGTGATCTTGTGGCAACAGCTACAGTTGATCCCAGTAGCATTATAGTGGTCCCCATTGGATTGGCGAAAAGTCTGAGTGTTTTGGTGGTTATCTGATTTGTGTGGCTTGATCTTGTTGCCTTTTACTTTGATTTTCAAATGACTTGAAATTTGCTTTTTTGACCTCCTTCAGATGAATAAGACGTCAGTGACTTAGTGAGCCCATATATCCATTTCATTTTTTCTGTGCTACGAATTGGTATGCACATTGCACCATTATCTTGCTGGTTGAAAATATCCATCAGACCTGGCTCTCCCTGAAAATTGGTTATGGGATATGATGAAAGTGTAGAAACAGTTTCAAAGTTGTTCTTACTAGTATTGTTTCCAGTAATGTTCTGGTTTTACTCTGCCTTAACATCGGATATTAAGTTTTTCCTAATTGCATCTGCTGTTATTTCTCTAGGTTGTTCTTGCTGTGACTGTCTTCAAATTCATTCAATTATTATTCTCTGGCCTCAGCATGTTATGTTTTGATTTTCCTCATTGCATCTGTTCAACAATTTGTGATGTGTTCTTTCTGGGACATCTTTACTAGCTTTGACCATTACTTGCATTCATGTCCAGACACTGGATACCTTTTTACTTGTGGAGATGGTTCATTTGGTCAGCTTGGGCATGGTGACTACAAATCACTTCACTTTCCTGTACAAGTTTCACACTTCGGTTCTAGGCATGTTGAACAAGTAGCTTGTGGCATGCGCCATTCCCTAGTCTTATTGGAAGGTAAAGACAATGAACTGTTACAGTACTTTATTTTGCATTTTTGTGGATGCATTGTGTACTATGTAATGTGTTTGCATGTAGACCTGTAAAGTGTCTGTGTTATGTTCACAATTATTTGGAAGCACTTGCAACTTTCTCGTCATGTAATCATAAAGCATTCTCTTTCTCTTACTCTTCCTGCCAGAAAAGAAGGGGAAAAAACATGACTAGTTTAGTGGTAAAAAAATTCCCACTATATGATCACCTAGATTGAGTGCTACCTCACAGGTGTGGGGGATTCAGATCCTGGTCGACTCATAGTTACATGTTATAGTTATAACATGACCGAATTAAGGCATTTAATCGGAGATCAGCGTGATGCAGGTCATTTAGGAGACCACGTATATGGATTTGGATCTGGAAAGCGTGGTCAACTGGGTACATCCAATGATAAAATCAGATCATCAAGCGTTCCTCAAATTACTTTGGGATTGGAAGATGTCAAAATTGTTAGCATTCGGGCAAATGGAGATCACAGTGCAGCATTATCTGGTGAGCCCCTTCAATTGTCTCTCACAAGATGAATATAAATAGTTTTTCTGAGGTCCACCATCAACATCGAACTGAATGTGCCATCTAATTTGCTTTAGTGTAGGAATTGTAATGACTAAACAAGATTTAGCACTAAACTTAATTCATTATGCACATTGCCTTATTTAAGTTTTTTCTGTCGCTGCTGGTTGTGTGTTCGATGTTCCTATATAAGCCAATGGCCAACTGTACACCTGGGGAAGAGGGTTTAGTGGCTCTTCAGACGTGTACCATCCCCACGGTGTAACTGCATCTTTGTCATTCACCCAGGCTGCACTTGGATGGAATCATGCTTTAACATTAGCAGGTATACATTAGTTTTACCTTGTGACCAAAGTGGTTTTCTTTATCTCTTTCCAAATAAATTTGTTGATGACTTCTCAAATGACAATTCTTGGATTTTTGAACAGATGACGGGGAAGTGTTTATGCTTGGTGGCAACCACCATGGAGTGCTTAGCAATCCTCAGAAAACACAACTGGTGAAGCCTATGATAGGTAATGCTGATTGATAACTTGGATGCACAAATTCATGAAATGTACTGGTTCTTCATCAATCTTGATTCCTTGAAAAGTGGTGACTACAAACTTGGCAACTCCCTTTCTGACCCATCCCCTCCCTGGATCAAAAAAAAGGGGAAAAAAGGATTTCTACTTCTCTGGTTTATGCATTGTCTAAGTAATCTGATCTAGACTACGTGAGATTGTTAATGTCAGTAATTAAGATGCTTTTGTGCTATACTTCCGAAGGGAAGAAAAGTACTTATATCTGGTTCTTTGGGGAAAAATTTGACAGATTGGACTGTTGAGAAGGGAGTTAAATGATTGGGTGCTCAAGCTGCAGTTTCATAATAGTTCAACCAGCTGCAATAAGCATCCACTTTCTTGTTCATCCTGGTTATTGCATGTTTTATTTATTGAAATCCTAGTAAAAGATGTGCTTTTGTCCACAGAAGATTCACATGAAGCGATTATTGAGAGAATTCCTGGTCTTAATGGTAAAGAAGTTTTGCAGATTGCAGCAGGAGCAGAGCACTCAGCTCTAGTAACAGGCAAGAGTTCTTTGAATTAATCTTGTTCTATATTCTTTGTCATATAAATATGTCCTTTATGCATCCTTGCAATTGTGCAGAGAATGGATCAATAATGACCTGGGGTTGGGGGGAACATGGTCAACTTGGCTTGGGAAATACAGAGGATCAAGCAAGCCCTCAGGTGGTGACTCTGGGTCACAATCATCCTGTACTAGATACGTCGAAACTATATTGTGGAAGTGGGTTTACATTTGCTTTAAGGACATGCTCTTGCCCTTCTCAAAACTTAGTTTAACCACATTCAGCATTACGACCTTTGCTTGATGGGGGAGTTTGACATCATAAGTAGCTGCTTTCATATCAGGAGAATGAAAATTTGTGGCAGGTTATTCTTAGATGGATTTGCTAGGAAGTTCTATACCTGCAGCTTATCAAAAGAAGTACAAACTACTCATTCCTGTGGTGACCATGGCGAATTTTAAATACCAGGTTTTTTGGTTTCTGGAGTGGAGAGTTGATTAGGAAAAGGTTGAGTTTACACTAATTAATCATGAAACAAATGCAATTGAAAATTAACAGATTGCAACGTTGTGATGATACTTAAGAATGAATGGCCAAACATCTGCGGCACCTGAGTTCTGACCATTCTAGCTTTCCTTTGCAAGTTGAAGCTATGGCACATCTCTCAAGTTTGAAGTGGGCAAATTGCCATAAATGAGATTATTCATGCCAAGTATCAATGACAGGATCAGTTGGTGATTGGAAAATATTGTTCTGTTAGTGAAAATGGGCTCTCATCCAGACATTTTGTTGGGCTTTTGCTTCTCCTTTGGTTGGTTTGGTCGTCAATGAGAATATGGTTGAGGCAAATTGACAATTGATTGTGGTTTTATCGCGTTGCTCTGCTTGTTTGACATTTGAAAAGTATTGTTAATGAAACCTATAAGACTACAAAAGGAGGCTGACAGGCCACAGAAGTTTGCGGTTTGGGATGGAAAGATACCTGACTCATGTAGCGGGATTGGTGCTAGAAGATCACCAACTCTTGTGTTCGCCTTAAGTCTGATACCTGTTCTTGTAATATTGTTGCTTTCTGTGAGATATTCTTGGTTGCTTGTAATTACTAGGCATACATCTGATTTTGAGGATTCTTGGAGATACAATGTTTAATTCTCACTCCAGGTTCTCCTTCCCTGCTGGGAGGCCATGTGTTCTGACCACACTTTGCATTTGGAACAGAACCTCGTCGATATTTTTATGCCTATATAAAAATAGTCCATATGGTTATGGAATTGTGCAGGAAAGTGCAAGGGTGGTCCATAAGTATTTTTCTCAACAAAAATGCAATGATATTTGTTGTAATGTGGTTCTTTTTAGTTGAAGACCTCTTATTTTGAGTTCTTTTCTTCAAAAAAGAAAAAACCTGTAGTTTTCTCTTTCTGATAGGCAGGGAAAGCCCCCATAGAGGGAAGACCTTGGTGCAGGACTCACTTCGATAGAAGATTCGGAGTTTATTCCAACAGTTGGCACATGTGAGGTCCTGATTGACATTTATTGGCGGCAGGAATCTTACATCCAAGCGAGAGGTCAGACCAATCTCAGTCATCCTATCGAACGGATCTTTTTGAATGAATTTATCCACTGTTGTATGCCCTTCTTTTGAGTTCATTTAGGAAAGAAACTCAAATAAAGCTAGTTACATATCTCATTACAAACCTACCTGAGATCTTTCAATAAAGATAATCACACGTCTCATGACACAGCAAGATTTCAAGAAATATCTCAATAAAATTGTTGGATCGGATCATTCACATCGATTTCCTGTGGTACAAGACGTAAAAAAAAAAAAACCCGAGCACTGCACTCATTCTTTGCCTGTTCTGGATCGTCAAATGACCTCAAGCAAGAATTAGATGCCAGTAATATCTTTACGCGACAATTAGAAGATTATTATCATGTCCATTGTTGTGAACAATTGGGCGTAAGGGATCAATCCTCCAGATGCCATCAACAATGAACTTGATCTGTCAGCATTGTAGAATAAAATGAAAGGTCCATCTTTCAAAAACTACTGAAAAGTGGAATAGTAACCAACTCAACGAAAGTAACATACCTCATATCTACCCGGATACAGCTTCAAGCACACAGAAAATATACCGGTACGAGATTTCTGCAGCTTTTTCTGCAACAAAGTACTATTAATTGTAATTTGTATACAACAATAAGCAACTCAAAAACATCATAAATAAGAACCTCAAGAGGATGAATTATAAAATGATGAGACCATATTCATTGAATGTTCGATAAAACTGTCAAGACACTACTTAGGGCATGATGTATTATAGTCAAATCTTTCATTTCATAGATTTATGAAATATATAGTACCAGTGACGCCCACAGCAGCCAATGCAAACATGATAATTCATCTTGTTGTGTAGTTAAATAGAGCATCCACCCAAAAAACCTGCTATTTCCTTAATTATTGTTGTTACAAAATCTATCTCAAAACCAAATGACTATGAATGGAGACGCCCACAAGGCTCATGTATTAGAGCATCTCCAACAAGGTTATGTATTTTAGGTATTCAAAAGTGCACTTTTTTCTATTTTAGTTAATTAGTTTTTCAATACATACTTTAATAGATTTTCTATATTTTAACTACTACTTTTAAATATTATTTCTCATATCTTGTACCTTTGTTGGGACTATTAAAGAGAGAAAAAAATGGAGGTAAAAATAAAGAGTGGACAAAGAGAGGTGGAAAATGACAAGAGAGAGAATATATTATAAACTATTTATACATAATGTTAAAGTGATACTCTAAATAGAGAGCATCACTCTAGCAAAAATGTATTTTATCTACTCTAAACATTTTCTGTTGGAGCATGGTTTTTGCCTTTGAATAGCTAAATTTTAACTATTTTGAAGTTTTACATGTTCTGTTAGAGATACTCTTAATTTGGGAAGTTTACTATGTGGATGCACGCTGTAACAATTTCCATCAACCATGCCCAAACAAACTCAAATTCTTTTTGTCAATTCCTTTCCTTTACTTCACTAAAAGCTGGATCTATCTGTTCCTCTGAGTCTTGCATGCTTTTGACCATGCCCATGTCATGTAGCATGGCAATAGTAGCGACTTCTACTATCAAGTGACCGCTTAAGTATCGATTCCCTAACTCCGAGTCACAGTTGGCCGGGAAGATAAGAGATCAATAACTGAGCAACTAGTTGGAAAATAAAGGACAAAATCACCTTTCGTACATTTCTATTGGTTCAGACATTCGAATAACAAACAAAAGACCAAGAGATATCCTAGGTGCTTTTTTCTCGCAACAATATATGAACACTAAGGTTAGTGTCATAGGGCGAAACGGGACATGTTTGACATCACGTCTAACCACAAGTCAAATAAGAAAGGAAGATACAGAATCACATCTGCTTGGCTGGTCGACACAAGTAGGGTCGCTGGGAAGGATACAAATGGGGTACATTAAAAGCAAAGTCAAGGCGAGAAGGGTTGAATGGGAAGAACGGGTTGTGGAGCTTTCTTTCTTTGGGGAGGAGGGGAGCACCTAACATTCATTTTCCCAGGGACCGGCCAACGAATGAACAGCTGACTTACGGAGCTTACTAGGGCGAAGTGGGGTTAGTTGGCGGGTTTGGGGGCTAGGGGAGAGTCAGTTCGAGATCGAGAGAGATCTCCTCTTCAGATTCTTAGGATAGATTCGCGCTCTAAATCTGAATTGCGAAATGGAATCATAAGCCGCCATCAGTCCATGAGAGAAGCAAGCCACCTTTCTTTGATCCACCTTCCCGGGTAAGGAAGAGAGCCAAAAACAACAAAACCTTATTACATTTAGTTAGGTCTAGCCACACGAATCCTTTCCCTTAATTTGGCTCATCCAAGGCCAATTAGTGCACTTATCAGGCTTCAATGAATATGGCACACCATTTTTGCTTACTCTTGCAATTCTAAATTCTAAATTAGGCTTTCTCTAAATAGTTAGATATGAGTAGCTATAATGGGAGGCATAGGGTACCCAAACTCGAGAAAACAATGATTTAGGACCCCTAATGCCTCTGGTGAACGGCAAACTGATATTGGTTCAAACGGAAGTAATGTTTCCATAATAATATAACGAAGGATTTTCAACTTATGCTTCTTGGCGATATTAAAATAGTAGAAGTAATTCCATCTAACTGATGTATTGCAAGAGGACATCAAACCTGAGTGGTCCAACCATCAAAAGATCCTGCTAGGAGAACCTCTGAGGCTGAATTAGGCCAAACTATGCAGGAAGTACGAAGAAGTTGTAAAGCTTTAGAAGCACCATCAATCCTCTTCTGTTTCTCTTCCACTATCTTCTGTGCATCACTGCAAAACGATGGTGAAAATGTGATGCAAGTAAATTCAGAAAGCACATCCAATGGAACATGTTATATTTAAAAAAAAATTGTGTACATGATTGAGACTGCCATCTTTCCTTCCAACACAGCTAACTTTGCACGTATCATTCGCAGTCTGTCCTGGGCATTCATGGCTTCATTTTCCTGGAACTCCCAAGCATCAGAGAGCTTTCTCAAATCGTTAGAAGAGTTTCCGGGATCCTGATGAGAAATGCACAGGAGGATCAGAGAATATAGACATAATAACCAAACCTCGAGTTCAAAGAATCAGAACTCCACGATTACTTCTGCAGCGGAAAATACTACTATCGCTTTCCTATATCATACAATAAGGACATGAACAGGGTCACTCTGTTTAAGTTCTATTCAGCACAAGCTCCCCCCCTGCAAGAATCCAAAAACACAGAAAAAAAATGCCACAACAATTCCAATAAGAAACATAAAGTATTAGGGAAAATATAAGGGGAAGTGAATCATATTTGATATATCGGGAAGGAGCAGGTGACAAGAAAATTTTATTTCAATCCAAAGTAAGGAGTGGCTATTTTTCCTTTATTCGTCTAACTCTGATGTACTGTATATATTAATACACCCACGCGCACACACACACACAGACATACATATCAGAGAACATACATGAAACATATGATACTGCATCATATATGTATATCATATATCTGTACAAGAAATGATCACGTAATAAATAAATCCCAACAAATTAGGTATCTGATACATATTCACACATTACATTTTGTTGCAACAAAAAAACCACAGTAAATACTTATAGTGCATCTTCAAGACACAATGAAAATTCACAATAGTAATTAACCAACTCTAGCAGAGCAACAGGAATTAGATAGCCCACCTCCTTTGAAATGTATTGCTTGCCCTTGGACCTCAACAAGCAGAGTGCAGAAGCAAGCTCAAGCTCCAGGTCCTGAAGCCTGTTTTGTATCTGATTGTGGTTAATCTCTCTCTCTTGGTATACAGCTTCACTAGTACCCTGAGTTATTGCAAGTACTACTTCTTTTGAAGCATCCATTTCCACTTCCATTCCATGTTCATTGTAAGAAATTTCAGCAGCTGCAGTGTGAGGGACATTATAAGCCAACATCAGTCCAGATGTTGAAACCTAAAGGACACTTGAAACTTCAGAATGTAATACCTTCAAAATCCATATCTGAGTAGCCGGCCCGTTGAATACTCCATGTCCTCCACATATCAGGCTTAACTGAAAGTTCTAAACCATCAAGGTCTGAGTGCAAGCCATTGTGGCTAAGCTTGCTGCCTGAATTATTGTTTATGCCTTTGGTTGTGGATAATTGATTTGAATCTATCGCATTGTCCAAAGTCATCCCTGTCTTTTACAATTTAACAAGCACCACACATCATGTTTTAGCTTGTAAGCATAAAAAAAATAAAAAATCAACCATCGACCTTTGAAATGATATCAATGGTGATTTACTGACATTAGAAGTAATTCAGCCAACTTCCACTTATGGACTTAGACTTATATTCAGGTACAGCTAAAGGAATAGCCATCTGGAAAAATAATATACAGTTGTTAAAATTAATTTAGTTGCAAAGTTAAAACTTAAATCTGCAAAGCCTAATTCCAAGATATAAGTCTTTGGCACAGGTTCACTGCATTGGTGCACATTAACATTCAGGTGAGCACTAAGGGGAAATGACAAAATAAATAGGAAATAATAATCCTTTCAGTGTTCTTGTTCGTGGTATACCACGAACCGTCTACCCATTTATTTATCTGTTTTGTGTATGTGAGAGAGGGGGGTGGGAGGGGTATGGGGGGAGATAACCAATTTACGTTAAATGCAGCAGAACAAAGTTACCTGCAATGGTTGAGGCTCCAAAATGCCTGTCAGCTCCATCGTCCTTAGTGGAAGCATGAGTAACATACCCTTTTCCCAAATCAATGCCAAAAGATAAATTTCTCTGCTTTTCCAGTCTACTCAATATACCCTCAATCCCAGTATCTTCCTCAGCTGCAATTTCTCTGCGCAATTTTTTCTCCCATAAAGTTATATTTCCATAAATCTAGTGAAAATTCAAGTTACTCCTAGAGAACAAATTGATCATCAAATGACTTTAACATTTCTTTTGTTTATCCACAAAATTGACGAGTATCATAAAGGAGATGAATTGATAGAGTAAATTTTAAAGCAGGAACCTTACAGTGATCTACCAGAGGAGGAAGTGGATTGAGAAGTTGTTGTAAAAGCAGAAGCATACCCTGAAGACCCTTCTTCCTCCTCCTCCTCGGAATTACGCTCTCGAAAACTATCAACTCTCCGTTGGAAGTCCTGAAAATCATAGTCCATTGCCATAATTTCAGTTTCTTGAAGTTTCTTCTCTACCACATCCTCATCATCTGACTCCCAACCCAATGACCACCAACCACCCTTCTTTTTAATGGCCTCCACCAAATCCATCCTACCAGCATCCAACAACTCTCTCTTGGTCGGAAACACGTCAGGCTTCTCCGATTTCTGCATGAATTCCAATATCTCGGCCTCCAATGTAGCGTCTCCGTCACTCTCCCATCCCTTACACCCACAACACCAAGTCCTATTCCAACTTCCCCTTCTTAACACCGCAAACCCTGAATAGCTGCCAACTACAAGGCTAAAACAGACCACTTGTTGTTGCCGTCCTAGCCTTCTTCTTTTGGGATCACTGACAAGACCAAGAGACGAAATGGGTGGAAAATTCAGATTCCGAACGAAGAGTGGCGAGACTGTGAAGAGATTTAAGGAGTTAAAGAGTGGAACCATTGTTCAGGCATTTCGTCGAACAATTGGAGCTCCCAACAAAGGCCACGGAATACACTGCCGTAGGTATCGAGCTGAGCAGTGATCTACTGTAGGATTTGCTGCCTGTAGCTAAGCGCGCAAGCACGCAAAGAGAGGAGGAAGAAGAACTGCGACGCAACGAACAATACTCCCAACCCAAAACCGTAGTTTGGAGTGAATATTGGGTGTATCGCTTATATAACAGCAGCCAATAATAACTCAATAATTAGACATGAAAAATATTAACCATTATATATTTAAAAAGTGTAAAAAAATATATAAAATAACAAATAAACAAATAAATTTCACATAGTTAAATAAATATTCATCTATGTTATACAATAATTTTACCTGTGGGACCCATTTATTATTTTATCCTTCGTTACGCTCAATATATTCTTGTTATTAAATAATTACACCCCTTAATAATACTGACGTAATACACTAATATTTATTAGGTTGAGGTGCATTAAGGTAAAGTAAATAGAACGATTTCACCGATTAAATATGATTTTATGTAATCATATATATATACTAGTCATTTGTCCGTGCATGAAAGTACTATGTTACTTATAAAATTTTAACACACAAAGATAAAATGTTTGAATAATTTTAACACATAGTGATTAGATTGGTTTTGAACATTTTTTGTTAGTGCAATTGGTATCTTATTTTTTTTATATTGGTCACTTAATTTTTTTTAATTGCTGATTAACTTGGGCTTTGATTTTTTTTTTTTTTAATTTTTTAAGAACTATAAATTTTTATACAGTCGTAATTTTTTTTTGGTATAAATAATAACTTGATGGTTTTATTTATAAATTATAAAGACAATTTTAACTTCATTGATTGATAAGAAATAAGAAGTAAACATCAATCATCGGTACTAAGATGCGTGATAAGAAGATCTACTTACAGTGTACTCTAGGTATAAATCAGTTTGTAATAAAAAGGATGAAAAATTATATAGTAAGTATATAATGGTTTTTAATGAAATATTATATCAAATGTTTTGAAAAAATCGATATACTAAATAACTTACACATCCAAAAATTGTGACATTGTTCATTTGAGTACTGGTTTTTGTGTTGTAGTAACGATGTGTATGCAGTTATTGAGGTCAAATGTTAAACTGTCAAACTTTGAAAAAAAAAATGCTAAACTTAGAGATATTATGTATTTTATGTGTGTAAAAATATTTTTAATTTTATACAAAATTTTATCGTAAAATTAGAAATTAAACAAAATTAACCTAAATCAATGTACAAACAATACACTTTTCATATATAACATTTAGATTATTTAATTTAAAAAGAATTAAATTTGAGTTGTTATTGTATTTTTTCAAATTTAAGATAAAGACGTATCAGCGATAGGAGTGTAGAGTCTTACGATAAGAGTCTTCTTCATAGACGGAAAAAGAAATTCAAGACTAACTATAGACCGTTAAATCAAAATTTTTGAAATGATTTGAACTGTCTTTTATGTTGGGATTACGTTGTCCGTTAGATGTGTTTATGTTTTATCTCAAAAACAATCTAGATCTTTCTTTATCTTTTTAGATTCAAACTTTGTTCTACTTTATTATATAGATATATATTTTAATTTTCAATAGTCTTAATTTACCTTTAAATTATATATTTTATTTCAACCAATCTTTTTCATTAAGATTAACTAATAAATAAAAAAAATTATGTTAAGATTAATCGTAAAATGAGATAGAGTTTGTTAAGATTAATTATGAATTTATTTCATTAAACGATTAATGTTGACTGAAGGGATAAATTATATAGTTTAAGGGACAAATTAAAATAATTAAAAATTTCGAAGATAATTTAAAACAAATGAGACAGTTGACAGGGTATTTCCCTTTATATAAATGTTGTCGCTCTCGTTTTTGCATTTGGTTATGCAGTGTGTTTGGGAAAAAGGGTGAGTTTCCTGTGCGATTTTTGTCCCCATTCTTTGAAAAAGGGCAATCAACAATGACATGTCGACGAAGATTTTTTTCGTCAAATTGCTTATTTCAAGTGATGGGATGCATTTTTTATTATCAAATAATCAAGTCTAGTTAATATTTAATGTTGAAGATTATGTCGTATCACTTATGTTCTGATTGATAGGGAGAATGAAAAATAAGAAAGATGGAAAATAAGTAAGATACATTTTTTATCTTTCAAAGATGAAAAGTAGGAATGATACACTTTCTTTCCTTTGTGTTTGGTTAGATGGACGGAAAATAAAGATGACTATTTTTTGTGTTGGCTAAGATTGAGGGTGACAATCGAATCAAGTCGTGTCGTGTCAGATTTGTGTTGAGTTATTACGAGTTTGTGTCGAATAATAATCAAACATAACTTAACTCATTTAATTAATTCTGTCGTGTCGAGTTGCGAGTTGACCTGTTTATTTTTGTATCTAGTTCGAGTCGTGTTATCGTGTGTGAGTCGAAAATTTTCACCCTTAGTTAAGATGGAAAAAATATTTTTTTAATTTAAAATTATTATTATTATTATTAGTATTATTTTATATTTTTATTTTTTAAAATATATATACATATTTTATCATTGTATTTTTATATGATATTAATGTATACATAAGATATATAGACAGATAAAATAAATCTCAACACAAATAATTAATTTTTCATCCATTTTTTTTTCGATTTTGGAGGGATTAATTTTAATGAGTTGGAAGAAAAGTTAATCCATCCACTTTTCCATCATTCTTTACAAAACATGATGTTTTATTTATCCATCCAACTTTCTATCCTCCCACTTTTTCATCGTACCAAATAAAGCATTAACTTAATAAACATAATATTACTGAAGAGACACATAAATTATATTATTAAGCTATTTTTACAAATTGGTAGGTGGACGTGCACGTGGACGTGGGCACAATCGTAGATGTGGGGGTCCAAAAAGTTTTGGATAGAACCTGAACATTTAAGCTATGGATAATGCTTTGGATATTTGGATCCATAAATATATTTTTTACCATATAGTAAATCATCTTTCATAGATGAGTGAGAGTTTTAATTATAATGAATCTTAATGACGAAAACAACTTAATTATAATACCAACTATTATCCTAAATTAACTTAAAAACTACTTTTAATGATGTCCAAATTATAAATATTTGTCGGGTTTGATCGTGTTTACCTTTTGTCATTAATACCCCCTTTTATAGTCACATTCTATCGATGAGTATGTTACTTTATATGGGGTCTTCCTTCATAGCCCCTAATTGCTCAACTATTATCAGATTTTCAAAATACACGTTAATCGACCCTAATTTTCTCTTCGATAACTACTGTCTTTTAAATTTAAACAGCATGAAAACTTATGGAGATTCCCACAAAATCTGATTTTGTTCTGCAACTACTGTTCAGCTCTTCAACTACCATTAATGCCCTGTTGATAACAACTCTATTATTTGGTAAGTGGTAATTGTATACTCATTCATTTATTTTCTTCCAGGTAAACCGGCACATGTAGGTTAGAGGAGTCTGTCCTACATCTCTCCTTGTCATACCTTATATTTGATTCATTGTTGCAACTAATAGAAAAAAAAAATGACTAGTAGACTAGATGTTACAAGGGTCGAATTTTACTCGAATTTTTTGTCCTGTGATGGTACTAAGATCACACACTCAATCTCTGCCAATGCACATAATCGTTCACAAAAGCACATAAGGAATAGAATATGGGCAAGCACACAAACTCACAATAGACACATAAGCATTACATGCCAAATAACAAAATTTTTTACTTCTCAGTAAGCTTAAAGGAAATTGGATAGAGTTCTGTTTACAAAATGTGTCCAAACTCTCTTGATTGCATTGTAGACCCAACCATGCCTATAAATAGCATACAAAGTGACAGTTACAAGCCCAACCATCTAGGCAATGCAAACACTCATCAGATTCACCCTTAAGACCTGTTGATCATGACTGAATTCTTTTGTCACTCCCACAATGTGCTGACTATGGCAGTGACAGTTACAATTGTTAGTTAACCCAGCCAACAACTGCCCATGATCACTCTTCATGTTGTGTGCACATGCTAGTAATTGCACAAAACTGCCCTACTGTCATGCACATGCTAGCAACCGTTTAGAACTGCCACAATTTACAGTGCACATGCCTTAACTGTTCGGAGCGACCTTACATGTTGTGCACATTCGTTTATTGCGAGTCCACAACACTTGATTTCCCTTGCCTATGTGCCAAGCCATGCCCAGGCCATAGCTTGGTCTTCCAAGCTAACAATACCCCACAATTTGAGCCTATCGGCTAGCCTTGCTCGCTTGTGTCCAACGTGCCCATACATGAGCTGTCTTTCTCAACCATGCATGGTGCTTCAATCAACCCATTAGTCGTGCCCAATGTGTCTATGCATGAGTTGTCTCTCTCAGCCATGCACAGAGTTTCCACCAATGACGGGTCCCATCGATTATTGGTCCCACATCTCGAGTTTCTGACTTTGGAATGCCTTGCCTCCACCCATAACAAACATATGTTGGGGTTATGTTTTATTTTGTTGTGCCAAGGCTTAGGGACATAGGGGGCCTTAGGGAGGTTGGCTTGGCACCCCCTTTGCGAAGCACCCCCTATAATAGAGTTAGTAAGTAAATCCCTATTGGCAGCAACAAACATATTTTGAGCTGAAGAGTCATAATTACTTGAGGCAGGGGCATAGTCTTGTATGTCACTTGAACCTTTGTCGAACAACTTTGTAACTCAATGAAGTACATGTTTAAGTCCTCAGGAAGTCAATTTTACACTAAGGGGTTGTTTGGTATGTGAGTTTGAGGGGGTTTTGGAACATTGGTTGTGTACTAAACCCCCTTAAACCCATGTTTGGTAACTATGAATTTAATCTAGGGTTTGAAATTCAGCTCGGTCATGGCTTAATCATGAAACCTTTGTTCATGGGTTTTATGAAACCCATGAGAGGGGTTTCATATGTGAGTTTGG